TTGATGTTGATGGTTGATTCTGGCAAGCGTCAACATCACCAGTTCATCACCAGTTTCTGTTAATGTTGATGGTTGATTCTGGCAAGCGTCAACATCACCAGTTCATCACCAGTTTCTGCTGATGTTGATGGTTGATTCTGGCAAGCGTCAACATCACCCAGTTTGAATGTTCGATCAAAGTCCAGCCATCGATTCGGATTCGGAAAAAGATTAGCTCTCAAACGTGCGTGCGCAAACAATCCATGGTTTACACTTCTCATTGATTTAGGAAACCACACACTTCTCAGCTCCAGAATGAATCGCCACAAACCGTGGCCACGACGTCCGAAGGGTCCAACACTTTCGGACCCCGACTGGTGGACCCCTCCTCTCTACTCTCGGCCCACCGGTGAGCCGACCTCCGGGTGGGCGCCGGCTTCGCGTGTCAGAATGGCCACCTGAAAGCGTGGAGACGGTCGGTCGAAGGGTCTGTGCGCTGTCTCAGGAATCCCCCTGCCTAGTTTGGCAATGTTATTGAATTCATCACTGTCCAATATAGCTTCTAACCACGTAAATCTGCAATAGTCGTCTCTTAATGCATAATATATGAACCACCACTGGACTTCTATGCACCTCTTGCATATTTCGATGGCATCGTTATTTCGTTGTCGCTTCATTCAGCTCTCTCGGGGGCCATTTTCTCCCAGGGCCGTCACCGCTGTGGACGGCTCCGTGTCGGATCAGCTCAGTGTCTCACAGCTCTTTCATTGAAGTAAGCTGCAGCCTGCTTCTCGCCTCAAGATAGTCAGGTCAGCTCAGCAGTCCAGAAGTTTGGCCCAGCAGTCCGGTGTGTTCCAATCTCCGAAGCTGCCAGGTTATTAGCTATGCATTGAGATGCTCCTTAGCCACCCAAAAAATTTGGCAACCCCGAGAAAGAGACCCAGTGTCTTGGGACTTGGGATGTTTGGGGAACTTCTCAGCACTCGGTAGATCCGCATGCTTCTCACCTCCTTTCAGGGCATCTGTGAAGATATGGCTCTGGGTCAAAAACCTGGAAAACCCTTTCACATCCTTTCACAAACTGTCACCCTTGTAGCTTGCGTTCAGTCTGTTCAGTTCTGTTCATCCTTCATCTTCCCTCATCGTTCGCCGTGACCCGCCGCCGGGCGAATCCCGGGGGATCGCTGGGGCGCAGCACTGGCATCAGGCCAGCGTGCGACCACGTAGACCAGCGCCATCTTGTGGCTCAAGACCTGGCGACGACAACGACGACGACGTCGTTCGGTGCCAAAAAGGAGAAGTGTTGGGGGGCCTGGGCTTGATTCTTGATGATGCAAGGATGGAATGGATACCCTCCCTGAAATGGAAGTGGGTCTTTGTGACTGTACTAAGAAAAAAGAACCGTTTCCATCTTTGGAGAGGAAGTATTGCAGGTTCCACCCACGGGTCAATGGAAGGGTCCATCAACCAACCATATCCCACCGCTTTGAAACTATTTCTATGCAGTGTGCACCTTCTGCTTTTGACCACACCGACACTGCCCCCAATCACCAGGTCGTCCGCTTTTCTCCGGACCCGAGCTCCTGGGCCCAGGCCCAGCGCCGGGCAGCACGGGGATCCGAGACGTCAAAGTCCAAGAAGAGCAACGTCCTATCCTCCGCGCTCGTGCGAGCGAGCTCACCCCGCGGAGAGCGGGAGAGTCTGGGAGGTGGAACGCGTGAGAAACGGCAGATGGCTGGTGCACCTGAGAACCCGGAAAAACCGGGGAGTAGAAGGCAAGAGACGACTGGTATGAAACATGGCCTGGCTGCCTTTCTCTTCCTGCAAATGCGGGTAGTTACAGGCAGAACATCACCAATGACTCTGAGGCACAAAAAGCATCCAAAAACACATTGGAATTACATCGCACTGCGTCGAATTCTGCTGTAATCATCTCCAATTCCCTGTGAAACTGTGAAACCGGAGGAACCTGTGAGTCCGTGTTAGCGGCCTGTGGTGACCCGACCGCCCTCACAGTTAAGCTGACACCTCAGTGATGTCCTTGCCACCACCACGGAAAGGGTGTCCATTGATAGCCCCTTAGAGGTCAAGGGGTGTTCATTAACCACCCCTTGGGGGTCCAGGTGTTCCTCCATATTTCTCCATGTTCAACCTGATTTCTTCAGCACGCTCCGTCCTTGCAAAATGCCGCCTTCGAATTCGCTCCCCCGCCTTCCCCCCTCGGCTTCCCGAACCTCAGCGAAGTGCGCTTGCACGCCCGGCGCCAGGTCCATCACCGAGCTCGGCCCCGCGGTCGGTGCCTCCGCGCGGAGCGGCTGGAGCCGTCGCGGCGTCGCGGTGGATGAAGAGGTCCACCTGGGCGGTCGTCTCAGTCTGTGGTCCCGGTGGTCTCCAAGTGGTCCCAGTGGCTGCAAAAAGAACTTGCGGCTCTGAGAAAGCACGGTGAGAACGATGAAGCCTTTTGGCTAAGAGACTCTGCCCTCGCTGGCAAGGATCGCAGCTGAGAAAGCACGTGTTCTTTGCTCCAGTCCTCCCACAGGGGAAGGAAGTCACCCGGAAATTGACCAATTTTATCATGACATCTAAGATCTTTGGTTGGATCGAATGGTCGCTTCTGTATCCAAGGGTATTGCAATGATGATTTCGGAGTTCACCTCATCAGGAGCTCACCTCTGGCACCTGGTAGGAGAGGCGCACGTCGCACAACAAAGATTGCTGGTGCTTCATTGATTCGAACCTTTGAGTGCTTTGTTGTGCCACAAATCACTTTATAATCACCTATGTTCACTTATAATGAGGAAATAGATTTCAACATGCTACACGACCACCTGAAGCCCATACCAACCCTGATATTTCTAGGGGTCTATCCAACGCCAACTGGTGCAACTTAACCACTTGCCGTCGACCGGTCGAAAGCCTTCCCGAAAACTTGGTGCCTTTGCACGTCCCTTACGGGTCATATCCTTTTCACTTTTCACCCTGAGTGTTCAGGTCTGCACCCTCACTACCAGGTCTCTTCGAGCGTTGGGGCCTAGGGTTTCGGGTGTGAGGGGCGCGCCCGACCGATGCGTTGCGCGGTCGACTCCTCGATTTCCCAGTCTCCATCATCCTCCCGCTCTTCCAACTCTTCAACCAACCTCTGCGCCAAGTCCTCTGCTCAATCACGGCCGGTGATCCAAAACCAACCGCAACGCCATGCAAAGCACGTGTTTCGGGAAATCCATCTCAGACTGCGAAGATCTGAAGGTCGATTTGAGAACTCCCAACATAACCCTTTGTGCGTCGATCGCGCGTCCATTTCGGCCGAGAAGCCGAAATGAGCAAGAGCACCTGACGGGGGGAGAGTGCACCTTCAAAAAAACACGAAGAAACAATGATGTTGGATTCATAAACCCCCCAACACATGGATTGTAAAAGTTCTTCTGCCTCGGGGGTTGAAACATGATGTCAAGAGTTCAGATTAACATGTTGGATAAGTCAGGTGATCCGTAAGCCACGTGAACTTCTTTTGAATTCTTTTGAAGCATCCAACTGGTCGATGGCACAATTGACCAGCTGAAGTGACCGGTGACCTGTGCCTGTCTCCATCGTCTCGCCCAAAGGAGCATTGATCGGAAATGGATAATATGGCTGTGGGTCCAAACCTGGAGCCCTGGTCCATGGAGCGAGGTCAGCCAGGGTGTTCAGGTTTTGACCCACAGCCATATGGATCGATCAATCGCGTATCCTCCAAAAACAGCGAAACCTCCTTCGATGTTCTCCAAGGACCTCCACGTGCCCCAAAAAGAAGATGCCCTACGCCTCGTGCACGAGCCAGGTCTGAGTGAACGTAATCCCACAAACATGTCGGGCCTTGCTGGATGGAAGGCCGTCCATGCTTGCGATCGTTGATGGCCCTGATGTCCAACAGCGCACAGGGATCAAATCGCTCGAATGAAACGCAACAAATGTCACAATTGTGTGGCCACCTACGGCGGGCTTCTAGGAGTGTCACACGTGTCACATCCCAGCAGCTGGATGACGCTAGATCTATCTCATCTTTGCAAATCGTTCTGCTACATCGATGTGGTCACCGGCATATAAACTGTCAACTGCTGGAGCTTCTGCTTACACTGTTTATTCATCCTTCCAAACTCAGATGTGGGATCAACAGCAATCGAAATCGGCTGCCATCCAAACCTAGAAGTAGAAGAATCGCCGAAAGTAGCCTAAAACCTAAGGGTTGATGGGTGCCAGTCTGTATTATTGTTCTGCCCTTCTGGCTCTGTCCCGTGATCTAGCCCAACTTTGAGCCAAAACCTCACAATGAACTGATTCAAACGGATCCCCTGTGCTGGTGTGCGAGTGGCCGAAGAGTGTGGTATCTTCCTGCGAAATTGAATGAAGGATGTGTCAACTGAAAAGGGATTCAAGAGCACTGCACAGGGTCTCAAATACATAATACATATATATATATATACACAATATATGCACTCCTGGTTGTCATCCAAGGGACCATTTTCAGTTTCCGTGATTATTCCAGAGACTGTACTTATATACTATAATTGTACCTCACTTTAAGCCTAAGGACTGCTCTACATCTACTGATTAAACGTCGCCACTGAACACCCCAACATGCTCGTCAGCTCCTCACGTCGAGCCAGGTCAGGGACGCTGAAAAAAGCTACTACTCCTCCTACTCCAAGTCTTGCTCCTGCTTCTGCTCCTGCTGCTGCTGCTGCTGCTGCTGCTGCTGCTGCTGTTACCTACTACCTACTACCTGCATCTACCTACTACCCTACTACTGCTACTACTGCTACTGTTGCTGCTTCTACTACTACTCCTACTCCTACTCCTACTACTCCTCCTCCTCCTACTACTACGACGACGACGACGACTCCTCCTACTAACACGACAACCTGCGCCAGCAGCACCGCCAAATCAAGCGTCTCCTCCAGTTCGTCCCATCTTGGGTCCTACCGCGAATCACCACCCACGCGGGGGACCGGAACGAGAGTGAAGCACCGACTCCTGGGGCGATGAAGAGGAACCTCACGGGCGGTTCGTGATGTTCTTTGGGCGCCCATGGAGGTGTAGAGGTGTGTAGCGTTTCCATCTTTTTGCAAGAACTCAGACCCGAAAGAATCCAGAAAAAGGTCGGCTCCTGCGGGGCCCTTTTCAGAGGTTGAAGCAGGTTGCTGGCTTGTGGACGCTGGACTGGGAATTCTGATGTCAAGTTATGCAGATCGTGAGGAAATCCTGAGGTGCATCTCTCTTCCCAACTGCCCCCCTCCGATGCTGTGCCCCACCAGCCATCCTCAATGAGCTCGTTCAACGCGCGGCGGAGCGGCTCCAAGTTGGCCGAGTCCAAGTTGGCGTCCGGTCGCACCACGTGGTCAAGCGAATGTAGAACCTCCCGGTGGCGTCCGGATCGAAGCTCCCAGTGGAGGTCCTGTTTGGGGTCCAGAAACCCGGGTAGAAGGATATTGGCGACCCTGAACGGATTGTACTGAGAATGGTATGTCAGGCCTCTTGAAGAAGAACAGGTTCATACGAAGCATGAGTTCGTTTGCAGTCTTCGCAAACAAATTATGGGATCTCAGGGTCTTGCCCAAAGGCTGAGAGCAGTACAAAGGGGCACGGATCCTAGGACACCCAGCTGAGAGCGGCACCTGTTTTGCTTACAGTATGCTGAAGGTCTGGAGGTTGATCTGTCTATGATGTCTATGTCCTAGTAGGTAAGTGCAAGGGCCAAGGGCAAAAATCCATCCATCCACCACCAGGAGACCCGGGTGCAGTAAGGGGTGGTGAGTGGACACCACTTAGGGTCCAAACCCCTTGGAGTCTCCTGGTTTATCCATAAAATCCGAACGAATCCAATGGAGCATGAAACAGTTCAGAGTTCCGTTGGCGCCCTGCATTTTGACCAAGCTGGACTCGCCAAGAAACATGCTAATAATCAATGACCCCTGAGCTGCCACAAGAACCATGGCACTAACATTCTTCCCCAACAGATTCTCATATTCATGGGCCCTGGGTCACTGAGAAAAAGAACATTGGGAACACCAAACCAAACTCAAGGTAGTTTCAAGCACACCTCCATCTACCCAAAGATCCTTCTTTCAACTTCAAAAGCTCCCCCGAATCATTAACAAAAGCTTGGTCTTCAGGGCTCTGCCTTTCTGCCTGGTCTACGAGCTTCATCATCTCTGAGACTGAAAGACCGTCCTTGACCACCTCAACATACAAGGCCTGGCCGTGGGGAGTAGGCCAGATGATCTTTCTGTTCCAGAAACCGATGACATTGAAGACACACCAAGCTGTACATACCCAGTGCAATCGCGTTTGCACTCGAAAAAGGATTTGGAATGTGGGATGTTAAAATTTGCTGGCATTGATGACACCAGATCCCTAGCTTTCAATGACCCGTCAAAGAGTTTGGCTGACCTGGTTTGTAGTCTAATATCCTTGGTAAAACAATGGTTGCTTGGCAAAGGCATGTATACAGACCATTAAATCCATGTGCATGGTGGTTGGAATCTCAGGGATATGACACATTGCTGCCAAGTCCACTGCGACCCCTTGCTTTTCCCTCCCAGTCTGCCAATTACTGCTCCATGCCACCTCAGGGTTCGACCACCCCAGCGGCGACCATCGTCAAGTCTGTCTGCTCCGGCTGGTTCCTACGAGTCCTACCCAGACGCGCGGATGCTCCAGCCCGACCGGTCCCTCAAAACCGGATTTGAGACCCCAAACCAATCCATCAAGATACAGCAAGGACCCAAAAAGAGATTGAAACCCCAAATAATGCAACCAAGCAAAAAGAATCCAGCAAGTATCTTCTGTTCCTTGAACGCTTGAACGTCCATTGGCCGTGTGTGTCTGTCTTGTTCGACAAAAGTTTTCCTTAAATTCTAGGAACCAAAGGAATAGCGCGAGCGCTTCTTCAAGGAAGCTCCCCCTTGCCACCTTTAGGGCGGCCGGGGAGCTTCCTTGAAGGACTATCGCCTAAAGCAAGAGCGGGCTAAAAAAACAACACACAATAACAGATAATAACAAAAAAATCCAACACTTGAATCCTTCTCCATATAACAATAACAATAACAATAACAACACACACACACACCACTTGACTCCTTCTCCAACTCCCCCCCTCTCCCACTCGCCTCGCCCAGGAAGCCGATGGCCTCGACGAAGCGCTGCTGGGCACAGCGGAGGTTCCCACAAGCCCACGCCTTCGGTCGGGTGGCAAAGACCGCCCGTCTCGGCGGTTCTGCGTGCGGGTTCTTCGCGTGGCGGTGTTCAGGTCTGGGGATGCTACTAGCGATGGCCTCCAACCTCAAAGCTTAAAAGCGATGGCCTCCAACCTACTAGCGATGGCCTCCAACCTCAAAGCTTAAAAGCCATGGCCTCCAAC